TGTCACACCTGCCTTCACCTGCCAAGAAGTGCTTGGCTCCTGCCAGGAGGGATGGAGCTGGGGTGAGGCTACAGATCACCGTAAGGTAGCTTTGAGGGGAAGAAGGGATGAGGAAGGGGCAGGGTAGATGTGACTCAACCTGAACAGGAGCAGAGGGACATGAAGCTGTGATCTTGGGGCTGCTCGTGTCAGTGTCCACAGCCCCTTTCCCTTCCACAGGGTGAGTTGCTGCGCATCAGCAGGTTGTTCTCCATGCTGATGTCCATTGGCCTCCAGCCCAGCCTGGAGTCCTACGGGGCAGCACTGGAGTGCATGGGCCGGAACCAGGCGTCCCACAACGACATCTGCAGGTAACGCTGAGCCCCAGGGCAGCAGCTCCACAGCCTGTGCTCAGAGGAGCAGGAGGCACACTGGGGTCAGGAAGAGGTGCCCATGTGTGCACACGTGGATGCTCTGATGTACATCCTGCCCAGTGTGGAGTTGTGCCAGTGTAGCACATACCTGTGGGGCTGAGCTCAGCCCCGGTGGGACAGTGAGGCCACAGCTCCACAGAGGGATGGACACCTGATCCCTGTAACCTGAGGCGGGTGATGACCTTGTGGGATGAGCTGTGCTGAGGCAGCTCCTGCACAACGTGCACAGGCCCCTGGGGAAGATCAAGCCTGTCCTGTCTGCCCCTCCTCAGGTACCTGCAGTGGCTGAAGAGTGATGGCTTCCATGTGGATGAGCTCTTCCAAAAGTGCTCCTTTGAGGAAGATGAGAAGGAGGAGGTGCTGAGGGCCATCAGGATTGTCCAGCCCAACTACCAGCTGCCTTCTCCACCCAACCCCCAGACCTGCAAGACTTCGCTGCTCAAGGACTTCTACTCCAAAGTAAGCCACATGGGGAGCTGTCGGAGCTGGCCAGGTGATGTTCGTGTGTGTTCTTAGGTCCAGCCCAGGACTCTATAAGGGAAGAACCTTTTAGCCTGATGTCTGCTCAGTAGCCCACACAAATCATGAATGATGTTACCCACGGCCTTATGGAGGAGCAGTGAAGCCCAGGGCTGGCAGGGGGCTGGAGGTGACCTCCATGTGCTGGAGTGGGGACTTGGGTAGCTGCTTGGCCATGACAAAGGAGCAACCAGCGACCTCTGGACCCAGAGGTCCTAGCAAGGTGCCCTCAGCCCAGACTGCTACCACAAGACTCTGGCAGGGAAGCTGGGGAGCATGAGCATGGCTCTTTTTCTTCCTGCTTTCTGCACTAACTGCCTCGCTCTTGTTGCAGAAGAAGGCAGTGTCATACCCCAAACTGGATTTCTCTCTGGAAGAGTTGCGAGAACGTTTCCAGCAGCAGCTGGAGATGGAGCTGAACAACACCATAACCATCGAGTCAGTGGAGGCAGCCAAACCCCTGACGCCGCAGGCCGTCCGTGCGGTACAGCTCAGGGGATCTAGGGGCAAGGGGACACTGCAGTCCTTGGGACCTGTGGGAGAGACCTGGGGGTCTGGGGGCAGGGGGACACTGCAGTCCTTGGGACCTGTGGGAGAGACCTGGGGGTCTGGGGGCAGGGGGACACTGCAGCCCTTGGGACCTGTGGGAGAGACGTGGGGGTCCAAGGGCTAAAGAGGAGGGTAGCCCCCCCTGATCTGCTCTCTTGCTTCCCTTTGTGTGCAGCGTGAGCTGCTGAGCACCCTCCGCTCCCAGTGGCATGACACCATCCTCCAGGCCCTGCAGAAGTCCAAGCACAGCATGGCCAAGCGCAAGAGAATGTCGAGGCACAACAGCATCTACCCTTACCTGTGCCTGCTGCCAGATGAGGAGTATGTGGACATCATGCTGCAGGTAGGAGCCTGCCCTGCCCTCACAGGAGCGGGGCCAGACTCTTGGCCATGGGGCTGTCACAGAGCCCATGATGTGCTGCTTTGAGCTGGTAGAATTGGAATTTCTAGGGTGTTTTCCCAGGTTATTAGGTGTAGGCTCTGTCTGCTCCCTGTGTGGAGCAGCCAGAGAAGCCCCTGCTTTGTCCTGATGATGTTTCCTTCCTCACAATCTGCTCAGCATTGTGAGAATCAGCATCTTTCTGTGCTCCTCACACAGAAGCTTTAATTTCTGCTCTGTCTTTCTGCTCCATCTCTCTGTTCCTCCCTTCTGAGACCCTTTGCCTTCTCCTTTTCCAGGTCCTCAGTGCCCTCTCTCCACAAGGAGAGTCCCTGGCTGTCCTGGCCAGGGAGCTGAGCAACAAAGTCTACAACAAGTACGTCATCCAGAGGAAGCTGCGCAGCCGCCACCTGGAGAAAGTGCAGGCAGTCTATGAGAACTACATTCACCTGCTGGCCAAGGACAGCCAGGTAGGAGCCCCTGGAGCCAGGTGTCCCATGCAGGGGGGAGGGGAGAAGGGGGCCAAGAACACTGCCCTGGGCACCTTAAGGGCTAGGGGAGCAGGTCATTTGCAGAGCTGAGTGCACACAGTGTGGCAGGGCCAGGCAGGTCTGCAGCCTGGGAGGGAGGGGCAGGATGGTCTGGGGATGGGGTGCCAGCACAGGGATGTGGTGAGAGGAAGGGCTTTGCAGCACTGCTGTGCAGGTTCTCTTTGAGCTTGCCCCACCCACCCTTACCCAAGTACCCCTGTCAGGGAGGACTCACAGGGACACAAAGACAGGAGGGTCCTTCTCAGAGCCATGTCCCAGGTAGATAGATCCCATCCCTGGGAGCAGCATGGTTTGCACCTCTAGCTGGCCTTATATTCTCCTGTCACCTCCCAGCCTGAGCCATACTTGCCACGGGAATACTGGGAGAAGCTGGTGGCAGAAGCAGGCTTTGGGCCATCCCTGACCTCGAGGGACGGCAGCTGGCCCTACGTGCTCCTCATGCGCCTGGGCATGCACATGCTGGAGCTTGTGGTGAAGTCTGTCAAGGTGCCCAGGAACATTCTCAATCCTCGCCTGGAGCCCAAACCTGTCCCCGTCCTCTACCACATCTACTCCTTTCACAGCACCTGGCAGGTGAGTCTTGTCCTGGGGCCTCGGACTGTGCAGGTCACTCCTTCCTTGGAATA